CATTCACATTTGAAGATGTGACATTTGTCTAATAGTTCTTGTTAATTGGTGCAAGCAATTAAGTTGACTTTATAAAAATAAAACTAAAATATAGTAAAATAATGTAGTTAAAACCAGTATTATACAGTAATACACCAGATGGCAGTCTTGATTCATGCTATCTAGTGCTATTCACCCTTAATAGGTGATTTTAATCTCTCTATCAATGATCTTGAGACAGTATGTAAAAACAACAAAAATACCACTAAATGCACTAAAGAACATTATTTATCACTATCCACATTACATTCAAGGAAATCATGATTTCGAACATGGTGCTTTTCTCTGTTGGTAGTGGCTTATTATTCAAACCATCTGAACTGGAATTCTGTGAATTACATAGAAATATGGGGACTCAGCATCATCCAGGAAACTTTCTTGATATATAGCAATTTGAACTTCAGTTTCCAGAGTTCAAATCCAATACTTTAATTACTACTTTATGATCATTGCCTTTCAAAGTTGTGATGTTTTTTTCGTAACAGTTTCATACATATCCAAATTATGCATTAAATGTTTAAAAACTATTGCGTATTGTATATAATATGATTGAATGTTGACATACATTATTCTGCACTGTTGTTTTCTATTCTTGGTTCTTAATGTCTTACAGAATATTAAAAAGGAGGAGGAGGAGGTGGAGGAGCAGGAGCAGGAGGTGGTGGTGGTGGAGGAGATCATGTGGTGGGTGGGGGCAAGGATACAAGTGATGCTTCATGAATAATGGCATAATTGTGCAACTGATTTGAGATATATAATTTGCATCAGTCATGTGGAGAGTCTGACATAAATTACTTCATTTACATGACTGCTATCATAATTTGTTGGAATCACTATAGTTTTTTTCACAAGTCAATGGTCACGTTTATCACTGTATTTCAATACATGGATCTTAAGAGTTGCTTTATGATAAAAACTCAGTTTCTTTCATGGAGCAAAACAAGACACAGAAAAAAACAACAACGGTGAATACTGTTCATGTAGACTGACATGTCTTTAAGCCAGGTAGCTCACCCCAGTTTTAGGGAAGCTGTATGCTAGTGGAAGAAAATAACCAAAATCACCAACATGAACTGAAAGAGAGAGAGGAAACTTTATGTATATATTGGGTTTGTCCCAATAGGTGGCAAATCCTGCATTCTATTTCTAGAAACAACTGGTATGTTTCATACAGGGAAATTGTCAAAAGTTGTAAATGGTCACAGCATAAACCTGTGTCCTTGGGGAAACTCTTATTTTAAAATAAACTGATATCTACAAAAATTTAATTAGCTTAAAACAATAATAGTACTTAGTTTGCAAATACATAACTTGCTTTTAATTTACAAGTCATGATTAGGTTTAGCCTTTTTTGACCTGAAAAAGAGAATAAATGTCTTTCCGTGACATTTCTCTGGGCTACTCCCATTTTTTAAAACAGTACTGTGATAAAAGTGATATATAGAACATGAAATGTTATATAATATTTATATAATTGTTATTTATAAACAACTATTATATAAATGGTAATTTTAACTGATCACTCTGCTGAACACCTAATTACCACAGTACTGTCTTATGTCTAAGAATATTTGCCCATGTAGTATGACTGTATTACTGTTATCATTATCTTTTCTACTGTCTTCTCCTATTGGCATCTTATGATTATTTTACTTTGTTATTTGTATGTACACCGAGACAATTATGCACTGGAGACAATTCTTGTGTGTCCAATCACACAAGGCCAATAAACTATTCTATTCTAATCTATTCTGTTCTGTTCTGTTCTAGTCTGTTCTATTCTTTTCTGCGGTAATTTTACTTACTGGTTTTAGCAGTATTGTGGGTGCCATTGCTTTTGTTTTTGAATTTTCAATATACAGTATATACAGTATAAGAGACATCCCAGTATTGCCTGGGTTAAAACTTTTCTTTGATGTTGATTATTGTTTTTAGTTTAATTACGTTTAATTAAGTTTGGCTTAATTAAGCAATTGTACATGGTTTTTTGGCTGCACGTAGTTCCCTAAATTGAACGGGAGCTACTAGGAATGACCCTCAGACAACTTGAGACCTACCTAAGAATAGGAATCTTGATTGATTGCAATTCTTGGTAGGAGCAGTGGAGGGTGGGGTCTCTACCATTTCCTTTCGGCTTTCTATTTTATTAAATATGCCTTAGTTTTAACTTATTTTTTTAAACAATGTTAATACAATTGATCTTCAAATAAATAACGAATAATGTTATTGTTGACCATTGCCAGAGATTAAAACATTTAGTTTTCATTACCATTGCCAGAGATTAAAACATTTAGTTTTCATTCTTGCTAATTTACAGTACAAACAATATGTTTGCATTTTTTTAAATCTTTGTAATTGAACATGAAATAATATGTATAAATCCGGAGTTATTTTGCACAGTAAAGTGAGGTTTTAAACATGTTCAGATGTTCAAAACATTCATTTTTCACAACAGACAAGTGGGTGGCAGCTTGGAATTGTGCTACTAGACTGGGCTCTTGAGGCTGAATCCAACCCAGGGTTCTGTGTAGAAATCCCGGTTCTGCCCTGGGCCTTCTTCAATATATTACAGAGAGTTCACCATTTCCTTGGAAACTATTTCCACCAATGATCACTTGAATATACTCATTATTCGATGATCTCTATTTTAGAGATGAAGGCAATCACAAACTCTTTCATTTTTGTCTTCTCAAGACTAAACAGTCTTTTTCTTGTTTCATAAGAATTAATTTCAGTTCCTAAAATTTGTTAAATAAACATCCTTGAATTATAGAATATGAACGTGTGTTCTTCTTGTTACTTATGTGAATAAAGTAATTATACAACATAGCCACATAAAATATTCTATTCTGTATTAAATGATTTAAGAAATATATTACATTATTTAGGCTAATGTAATATGTAATATAAAAGGAGAATGTTTAATCTTTGATATTATGATGAAAAATAGGCTACTTCATATGTTATAACTATGAACCACACATGGAGCCAGTTAACAAACTTCTATCTAGCCTGCCTTAGTTCCCATGTTCTTGTTGCATTTAAATTTATCCATAGCAAATTATTGAAAAAGTTCATGTTTAAAAAAAGGGGGGAAAGGTATTGTAATTCCTATACTGATAATTCTATGAAATACAGTTATTCCTCTACCACTCTGAAATTAAAAGCTAATTAAATAAATTAAATATTTTAATACATTAATTAACCTAACAAAGAGTTTGATTGTTTTCCAACCTACTTCTCACTTGAACTTATTAGGCATTCAAAATATTTTGTAGTTCTACAAGTAGAACTGTTTCATTCTCTAAGGTTCATTAACTAGTTGCATGTGGTTTTAGGCTCAGGGAATAGCTAAGGTGTATAAGTAACTGTTTTATATACTGTAATGGTGGGTTTTGGAAGAGAGGGGGGGTGTCCCTTCAACTCGTTGAATCCTGGCATCTCCCTTGACAAATCCCTGAAGTTATTTTGGCAAGATTTCAGAAGTGATTTGCCACTGCCTTCTTGCTGGGCTGAGAGAGAATGACTAGTCCAAAGACACCCAACTGGCTTTGTGCTGAAAATAGAACAAATTCTTGTTTGCCTGATGTCTAGTCTGGTGCCTTAACTACTACAAAGCATATATGCTCTATCTTTTATCCTATATAGTGTTTTTCTGTCTTTCTCTACTTCTAATTTGATAGCTCTAGTGAATAAAAGATTTATATTTTATCTGGTCTCTCTATCTATGAAATGCTAAGCTTGCCTGTCACCATTATATTCCTAAAGTACCTTCTAAAAACATTATTTCAGTCAGTCTTCATAAAATAAAGTTGGAACTTCAAAATCATTTGAAGTATTAAGATATATCTAAAACAGCTTCATCCCCATTATATTTTATGCTGTAATTGAACCTATATCATCCATCCCATAACTTAAACAAATGCAACAGATTTATTCCTGTGGAGACATAGGATACCTGTGGTCGTTCAAATATTGCTGAACTGCATTTCCCAATATCTCTTACCATTTTCATTCTGCTGCCTGCTTCCAGGGGAAATTCCACCATATAGTATTTAGAAGGTTTGAAATTCCCACCACCTATCATAAAAAATGGCTTCTTTAAAAAAAAAGGATGCTTAAAAATACTTAGGAATAAATACAATATTTATTTGTTTGTACATTATTTTGTATGCTGCTTGTATTCCAGTGGCTTACAGCAAAAATACAGCAGTTTTTTTTCCTCATAAAATAGGTTTAATTTTGTCATCAAGAAAAATTCTATATATTCCATGAAGCATTCCAGAATGCTCTCTAGTCCCTGCTTATCTCGTAGGGCTACCATTAAAAGAAAGAGAGAGAGGAAGAGAGAGAGAGAGAAAAAAAACTCCATGACCCAGTTGTAAACAGATCCATAATCATGTATAAATATAAACATTAAAAAAATATTGAATTCTATTTTAGTGATTTTTCAATAATTTTTATTCAGCTATCACCAACCACTCAAAATATTATTGCAATAAAGGTTTTAATATAATGTATAAAAATATAATTATTTACATTTGTAATATTGTTTGCATATAGAACAGTATAAAGTTAACATTCCATACGACCAGAAAAGCTTGACAGGAAACACTTGTGATATAAAAGGCAAACTTACATATAACTATCCTAGACTTAAAGAAGCTTATTTCAGAATAAGGCAAGTTCACATGTCAAACTCGCTACTACAGTACAGAGTAGAATTAGTTGTCGCAATTCAACAAGAATATGCCAGTGACTTTGATCCATGACCTACAAATTACCTGGCTATATGTATGCTTGTCTTAAAGACAAGTAATCTGATTTAATGCTTTTGTGAAATAGACTGTGAAGGAGCAACCAGATACAATCTTTTTGTCTTTGATTTTTAAAAAGAAATTGTCTAAGGTGACAGAAGTAGTCTTACTATTGCATAGCTGCCGAGAACATAAGATCAAATATATTATAAATTTGTGTTAAGGACTAGTCTAGAATACTATTTTCCTTTGGTATACAAATAACACTGTTTGGGGTTACTTCACACAACCTATAATTTGGTTCATGCTATTAATTTTAATAGTTATCCGCCTGCATGTTTTCTGTTAGTCAAATTTTTTTAGAACAGTTCTTTAGAAAATGATGCAAAAATGCCTTTTCAAAGCTACCATTTTATCTGAAACTTGGACAGATCTTCCTACTTCACATTACATTTTAAGTGCAGTTTTCTTTCCAACTGAAGGAGAGGATTTAAACACAGTATAATTGTTTTTCACTGTTTCAGTTTTCTTTGGTCCAGAGAAGACAATGGAATTGGTAAACGCATCCAGCAAGAGCACTCTTTACTTTAACTAAGCTGTAGTTCCACATAATCTGCTGGCTGTTGGGACGTCTTTGGTGTCAGATTCTGGTCTTCCTGAAACCACAAATGGCCAAGTCTGTGAATTAAAATATGTTTTCATGTTAGAAAGAAGGATAAAAATTAACAAGAACCAGTTTGCTGCAACATAGTTTCCATCCATATTTGGCAAAACAACCTTCCATACAAAAACAGAAGTGGTTGCTTGATTAAAAATCAGAAGCAATAAATCTGAATTTATTAATGATCGCCTAACTACACTTTTTTTGCTATGCAATATTAAGAGCATTAAACAACATGCTAATCTATTTCATTAGAGTTTTCACTGTATAAACTTAGCAACAACAAACCAAGGTCTCTCCAGAAAATACCTTGCTCAAGCCCATATGTAGCTAATGTTCTTTTATATCAACTGATTCAATTTTTAAACAAGCTTTTGTTGTAAAATTATTGTAACTCAAATATATACATTTCTGTTGCTGAAACATTGCCAAAAACATTTAATGTAGACACTTCTTTGTCCATATTCTATAAATAAACTACTTATGTAACCGAGTTTTATGGAAAAGGGAAGTGAAACAGCTCCTATATTTCCTTTATACAAAATAAATAAGATGATTTAATTTCTAGCCTAGGAGTGAAATATGTATGCCACTGATTTGTTCAATCTGACAGGAAAATAAAAATGACTAAAAGATGATTTTATTATAGCAATTATAATAGGAATATTGTTTGTAATTGTTATACAAAAAATAATGATTGTATGGTTATCATTTTATTTATTTAATGTTTAATTATGTATATATTTTAAATGTACAAATAGTCCTCGACTTATTCATAATTAAGCCCACAATTTCCTTACTGAGGCAATTAAGTGAGGTTTGCCCCATTTTACAACCTTTCTTGCCACAGTTGTTAAGTGACTCAATCCAGTTGTTAATAATCCAGTTGTTAAGTGAATCTGGCTTCCCCGTTGACTTTGCTTGTCAGAAGTTCTCAAATGGTGATCACATGACCACGGGACACTGCAACCGTCATAAATATGAACTAGTTCTCAAATGTCTGAATCTTGATCATGTGACCATGGGATGCTGCAACTGTCAAAAGTGTGAAAAACGTTCATAAGTCACTTTTTACAGTGCTGTTTTAACTTTGAATGGTCACTAAACGAATGCTTGTAAGTCGAGGACTACCTGCATATGCCTCATATTATATAAAATATGGGTAACTAACAATCAAATATACAAATAAAAAAATACAGTGAAATTAAAAATTCTTGCATGCCATAACTCTCCACCTCAAGAACACAAATGCTGAGTTCATCTCCTATCCTGACTCAACACCTGGGAGAAAAGCTCAGTCTTAACGGCTGTCAAGGAAACAAGGAGGGTAGGGGCTCCTCCATATCTCGGGAGTGGGGCGCCCTCTCTATAGGGTAGCCACCGCTAAGGGAACTTCTATTTCCTAGGTCTCACCAGATGCATTTTAACATTGTTTAGTAAAGGAGACCCACTCTATTAAGTTAAAACATTCTTTAAGATATCAGGGCATTTTCTTATTCTCCAATTTTGCTGTATAAATTAGTTTAATTTGCATAGAGCAATTTCAAGAAGTTTATCCAACTCAAAATTTTATAGAATGCCTGCCCTTCATTTTCTCTACAAATTAAATGTTTCATTATAATATAAACTAATGTGGTGAAATGGGTAGCAGGTGAAAAACCAGGTTTACCTTTAAGAAGGAATCTTTCCAAATAAGATTGTTTCAGCAGCACCTAATTAAAGTGGACTAAGCCACTTCAAGGAGAGCCAGGAAATGAATATTGTATAAGCTTTGGTTCTCCTACAGTTGTCATAGTTATGGTGAAAAAATTACAGAATGAATATACATAGTCAAGGCCATAATTTAAATTAGGCATTTTGACAATGCCTCTTCTAGAATAGTGCTTATATTTTTTTTAAGAATGCATTCTAGTATTAAATGTATTCCCCTTTCTCCAAGTAAAGATATTTTTTGCTTCATTAGTTTGATAAAATACTGCAGTCACAGAATATTAGAAATATTTTGTAGTATCTTCTGCTATTTGTCATAATCAACTCTGCATAGCTTAAAAACTGCTGCAATCATTCAATACAAACATGTACATGTAAATGTTGCTGTTACATGGATAGATGTATTTCTGGAATCAAATCTACATGAAGATGTTAACTGGTACTCTTTGGAAAGTTGTTAAATGCAGTCATTTATAATTGGAGATGCTTAGAGAAGGCCACCTGTATCTCCTATAAATATTGTTGAATCAAATTCCATACAGTTCAGATATGGAAAACCTGGAAATTTTCAGAAACAGATCACTGCCATGAAAATAAGTTCAGTTTCAATATTCCTAGACTTGAGCTATCCATGATTACAATAGCTTTATATTCTTTTAGCCTAGAGAATAATTTGCTGTGTGCACTTGGAATTTGAAGTTGTTAATAGATATTGGCTTACAAATGGAAAAAAGGAAATAACAAAAGTGACAAAAAGTATAAAGAAAGATTATGATAAAAATGTGTCATCATAGTTTAGTCACAATTAGGTACAGTCCCTAATTGCATTTTATTTCAAAACATGATGAGAGCTGAATAAGATATAGCAGCCATAAAAATCACCAAACATTTGATGCAATTTCTGTATGAGTAATAATTAAAAAGAACTGGACTTTGTAGTTTAGAAACCAATAAAAACAAAAATAAGTACTTTTTCATATTCATTTTTCATAAACAATGAATAGATCCCCCCCAAAAATGCAAAAGGTGCTCCTTCCTTTCCTATATTACAGCCACACAGCAAAAAATATCATCGGCAGGACACACAAAATTAGGCTTTCATTTCAAGACACTGTTTACAGAATTTGTTAGCCTGTTATATAGTGAGCAGATTTAAACAAATGATAATTTTAAAAAATCAGATTTAATTTTATGTGAGAAAATTCTCTTCATCTTTGGAAGAACAGAAAACTAAATTAGATGAATGTTGGGCATTTAGATCTTTTTAGAAGCAAACTGAGTTGAGAGCCAGAGATCCTTGCATTTGAGTCTACTGAAATTGCAGAAGAGATTTAGTTTCTCCCAGCCAATTGCTCTGCTGATAAATGGATCAATCCTTTGTTGATTAAAAAAAAGCAGATCCTGCACTTGCAGAAAAATGCTAGGAAGAAAAAGAAAAAAAAACACCTCTGCTAACAAAAGCTGCAGCCACTTAAAAGCTGAGAGAGAACTTTTCAAGCATAGAGGGATCTAAAGAGAATTCTTAATAACACATTTTTAAAAGATCTTTGAAAGCTTCCCTCCAGATGATGTCAAATCTAATTAAGAACTCTCCAGATATGCTTGACTTCACTTCCTATCATTCACACCCTGAGCAATTCTCATATGTGGAACATGAGATGTGTTAATAATACTTATCAATGTGCACGATGCAAAGATACAAAAGATAAAACCAATAGTGTGTGTGACCACAAAACCAGTGCTTTGTTGAGAACTTAAGGAGTCAGTGAATGATTCTTCTTGCAAATCCTAGAATGTCTCTTTTAAGTCAGGTATTAGCTTATTAAGTATTGCTTGTATTTGGGCAAAAGCAGGATTAATGTTTCTAAGGAGGGGAGAGCCAGATACATACTGTGTAGAGTATGTGTACTATATAGAGAATACACATACTGTATACTGTACACATACTGTATCCTCCAGAAATTTCAGATTCCTTATTGAACTGATGAAAGCAATCAGAAGAGGAAAGCATTACTCTTACAAAGAGACACACCTTACATAGCCTGCATTATTCTCCTGTCTCCTATAATCTCTTTATCTACAGCAATATTAACTTGAATTTTAAAAGATACGCATTTATACAGAAACAGATACTCCAAGACTGGCCAACCTACGAACTGCAGAAACACGCTGCCCGTGTTCAGAAAGCAGCACCGTCGCGCCAGTGAAATTGAAGTCAGGTTCTGACAAGCTAAGCCTGCCCTTCGGATATTCCTCAAAGGCTTCCGAGCTCACTCACCAGGTTGACAGGGTGCACGTAGCCCTTCTCGTAGCAGTCTTCTTGCAGCAGCTGCCGCAGGTGGGCGATGTAGCTGGAGGCCAGGCGCAACGTATCCAGCTTGGAGAGCTTGGTGTCCGGAGGCACCCAGGGCAGGCTGGTTTTCAGGCGCGAGAAGGCTTTGCTCAGCACGCGCATGCGGGCTCGCTCGCGCGCGTTGGCCGCGTTGCGCTGCGACTGCTTGCACTCCGGCGTTGAGCCCGCGGCGCTCCGACCCGCCGCCGGCTGCTTTTTAACTCCGCCGCCGCCTTCCCCGGTCCCGGAAGCTCCCTTGGCGCGTTTCTTTTTGCTCGCCACCGCCTCCCCGTCTTCGTCGTCCTCCTCGTCTTCTTCGTCCTCTTCCTCTTCGTCCTCCTCCTCCTCCTCCTCTTCTTCCTCCTCTTCCGCAGCGGAGGAATTATCAAGCGAAGGGCAAGTTTCACCTCGGGGACGCCGCTTAGAGCGGGGCGGCGCCCGGTACTCCAGCTGCAGCTCCCTCAGATCCATCCGAGGCTCTTCCGAGCCAGTCAGGGAGCCTGTCGGCATGACCCAAGCCCGGGACGCCAGAGACGGGCGCCAGCCAGAAGGCGCCCCCTCCCCCTCGCCCTTCCTAAGAGGAGCTCGGCGACGGCTCGCGGTGATTCTTTGACGAGGGGGTATATATATATATATATGTGCCAGGGAGAGCGGGGCAAACCATCTGCGCGGGGCAAGGGGGGGGAAAGCAAAAATGAGCAGCCCGCGTCGAGGCGCGTCGAGGGCCAACTAGGTTCTGCGCGCGTCAGCCATCCCTTCGCCTTTCTTTGGATCTTTCCCAGCCCCCTCGGGGTCCGAGGAAAGCGCGCTGAGAAGGGGGAGGAGGTTGGAGAGCGCCCAACGCCCTCATTTTGAAGAAGCCCCCGCCTTAGCCGCGGGGACTGACCCGGCTCTGTCTCTGCCGTCGGGTGTGCGCTTAGTCGCAGTGTTTCTCAACCTTGACCATTTTAAGGCATGTGGACTTCAACTCCCAGAATTCCACAGCCAGCAACGCTGGCTGTGGAATTCTGGGAGTTGAAGTCCACATGCCTTAAAATTGTCAAGGTTGAGAAACGCTGGCTTAGTGCGTCCCGGGGGGGGGGGGGGGAGGCTGAAAAGTTGCTCGAAGTTTTTAGCACAATTCGGGAGGAAAAGCCACTGGCGCGGCTACCTGTATCGGGCGCTCTCTGGTTCTGTTGGGTTTTCAACAGCCGCCCTTCCAATGTCGCGCTTGGTTAAGAATAATGGAAGTTAAAATCCAACAAGTGCAAGAGGTTGAATATCCGAAATTTAGGTGGGGGTTCCAATCTAGTGCGCGACCGGGTCAAAGCGAAGACGGAGGGTGCGAGCATGGTCAAACCGAACTAGAAGCCATTCAATTATTAGCTAAATCAGTTACATAGGAGGAAACGACGCTGGAGGGCGCCGCTCCCGAGATGATTTGAAGTGGACAGACTTCCATCCCCAAGTTGGACCCCGGTGGTGTTAGAAGACCGAAAGTCCTGTCTGCTCCCGTCCTTCTTTTTCCCCGAGACATCCGATCAGACGCGCTCCTTTCTTTCCTTAAGGCGGATTTGATTTCCTTCCCGGTGGTTTTGGAAATCAAGGGAAATGTTTTTGGATTGAATTGGCGTCCGAGGTTCCAAAGTTATTCTAGAAGTTGCAGCCTTTAGCCACCTCTACTATCGACTGGATCGACGTTGAGAATTGGAGGCGGTGGGCTGGTGGAAAATGCTCTTCCTTGGGACAGCATAAAGTCTGTTAAAACCGGAATGAATTATTTGAACTCCTTCCTACTGCGGGGAGGACCGACTTGGCGAGAAATAATCTTAAATTTCATAGATATGAATCAATCTGAAATTAGATTCTTTAAATTAATCAACGTCCGATCTTTTTAAACAAACAAACCGAACCTAACCTGTAGCTAAAGTATATGGAGGCTAGCTTTTAAAGTTAGATTTGCATGTTATGGATACTGGCAGGCTGGGAATAATAATAATAAAAGGAAAGAAATTGTGTGCAAGGCAAGACATAAATAAAATAATCATAAAGTTGGTGAGATTGGAACTGGTGAAAAAGTAAGTAAAACCCTTGAAATGCAATTTAGCTCAATCAGTTTTATTGCCACCTTGCAGATTTCCACGAGTGTGAGAATTGGTCTTAAATATATTAAACTTTATCAGAATAAGCTGGGCTTTGTGTGAAAGCCTTTAAAAACAAGGGAGTAGGTGCATGGAAGAAAATCCCAAGGAAATCAGTGACATAATTAACTTTTCAGTGATTGCATACAACCCTGGTGATCTATAACTGATCTTCATTCACTTAGATGGAAACAAACTCTTCATTCATCCCAAGAGTACTTTTAACAAAGATTACTTTGAGCCTGGCTTCATTACTATTCTACCGAGCCAATATTTCTTAATGCTGTACCTAATTTCAGCTTTAAATCATATTTAAAAATATGGGCATCAGCAGCTACTTATTGTAACACATCTGCAAGGTAAATTTCAGGCAATCCAGCTTATTTTCTGAAATTAAAATTTGGGGACTGGAAACTGAACTATCAGTCTCTGAAATTCATAAATGACAGTTTCAACACTGTCTTTTTGTAAAAAATATGTATGTAAATAAATGAAAATATGCATTCACTTATTTCAATGTATTTGTGCCTTGTTTTCCACAACTGAACAAAACTGTAAAACTATCAGAACAGTAACCTCAGAAGAAAAACAACCAGCAGCAGGTGGGACAGCCAGTACAAGAATCAAATATCCATGGTGCTGAAAAAGTTTTCAGAATCCCCTGCGGGAAGGCAGAAAAAGTGAACGTGGAGCTTGTTCCCGGCTATTTTCACATGGACCTAGATTCAAAGCTAGAGTTTTCAATGAAGATTTAGTTCCATGCAGCCCTTCACTGAAATGTCACGGAGTCTCATATTAGAGATCAATTGCAATGGATGATTCTCAAGCTTCAAAAGGGGAACAAATAAAACAGATAAATACAAAAAGCTAAGCTTGATTCCCCAGACTTACCTATCTAGTCTGAAATTCCATTTTATTCACATGTTTCTTTTTGTTCTGCAAAAAAAACAAAAAAACAGGTTGCCGATTTCACTCCTACTTACATAGAACGGATTGAGGTTAGGATTAGATCTAGGTTTACTTAATTGCTTTTGCTTTTTTGAAACACGTTTTGGTGAAATCCAGAATTTTGGTGGAAACTAATATAACAATGGGAATAAGGGACGTCTGTCGACCTTCACACTTCATTTCTCAAGCGTGTCCTATCTGAATCCGTCCCCGGATTATAGCAATTCTATTTTATGCACGTTCCCCTGGAAGTAAAGGGAATTGAATTCAGCGGATTTATCACAATCGTGTGGAAATCCAGCAGCAAACATCTTTTCTAATTTAGGACGCAAAATGTCAGACTCCTAGAGCGCAATCCTGAGCTGTGGAACCGACGGGACAGTCCTACTGAAAACGAACCCCTCTTTTAATATACGAAGCGCTCCGTGTTCCCTCACCAAAAGCCCTGGGCGCTTTATGACCTCAGTCCTAGCCAGCTTGCCTCATGGGGGTCCATGCAACTCCATCCCTCATAAGTGTGGACGAGAAGGACCGGGCCATTCCCACGTGTCTTTCCTTGGAGTAGAGCGAATGTGCTTCCGAAGAAAGAAGGGCGCTCACAATGGCTGGCTTCGCGGGACACGCTTAAAGCAGCTGAACTGAAATCTGATTAACGCCCGAGTGACCCAATTTTCTGGGCTGAGGGAACAAGACTGCTCTGTGGTTCGTAGATCTACGTGGCTTCATTAAGCCACGGGTTGTTTATTGAATACATTTGGATTCATGCAATAAAGCCGAGCTCGAACTGTGGCAGAGAAGCCGCCGTTCCCAGGAACGACCCCCCAGATCGCAGATGTATCTCGAAAGGGGAGGGGGCTGAGGGTGCCTTAGGCCAGGGGTAGGCAACCCTGGCTCTTTTATGACTCGTGGACTTCAACTCCCAGAATTCCTGAGCCAGCCATGCTGGCTCAGGAATTCTGGGAGTTGAAGTCCACGAGTCATAAAAGAGCCAAGGTTGCCTATCCCTAGGCTGATGGGCATAGCAGGTGGGTCGCGGTTGGCCTCTGCGAGCCTTTCCTTCCATCTGCTCATCTTCCCACCAGCTTGGCGTTGGCACCACCTTCTCGCCAGCTTTGGTTGCTGGTGCCTCTTCCCGCGAGCTGGCTGGGGGGGGGCTGGGGGGGAGGTGCTCGGGCGATCCGTGGGTACCGCTGGCAGACGCAGCCAAGCAGCTGCTCGGGAAAAGCCGCGGCCGGTGTCATCTCAAGTTCACTCTCGACCCAGCGTATCTAAGGAGCTTCTTCCCCACGACCCCCCCCCCATCCCCCCGAGCGCTCATTTTGGCTTGGAAAGGGGGCGTCGGTGAAGCAGAGGGAGGGAGAGCAGCAGCCTCGAGCGCCAGAACAACTTCTGCAACTTTTGAGGGAAGGAAAAAGAAGAGGCTGCAAGCGAATCAAGGGGAGTATTCCGGTAAACGAGTAGAGCAGAGCAGAGCAGAGCAGAGTAAAGGAGAGGAGAGGAGAGGAGAGACGCCCACGCTCTTATTTGACTTGTTGGTACAGATGTAGCCAGTGCTTCTTCACAAAATGCATGGGGAGCAAATATCAGGATGGTTTTAAATCCTGTTCTTGAATACTCACACTTACGCACTTGCACTTACTCATTTACTTACACATTTACATTCACATTCACTGCCCCTTTTTACTACCTTCTGGGAGGGATCTGATGCACTGGGTAAAAGTATGAAGCCCAGCTAAAAAGGTAGGGGATAGACAAAGAAATAAAGTATTTGTGGTCTATCTAGTTTTCTTAAAATAACTTTGTTGACCGGCAGAGAAAATCTAAAGGAAAGCTTTGCTTCCTGCAAGGAGAGAGAGAACAAGGAGACAGAGAGAGAAAACAAGGAGGGGAGTGGGAATTAGGACTGTGTATGGACCCATACCAGTCGGGCTTCAGGCCGGGATACAGCACGGAAACGGCATTGGTCGCGTTGGTTAATGATCTCTGGAGGGCCCGGGACAGGGGTTATTCCTCTGTCCTTGTTCTTTTGGACCTCTCAGCGGCTTTTGATACTGTAGACCACGGTATCATGCTGCGGCGTCTCGGTGAGTTAGGAGTGGGAGGCACTGT